CACTGTTCAGTTATGGACCTACTGTGGTCCATTTTGTTTTACAGTCAATTCAAACACTTGAATCTTTTCTAATAATTTGAAAATTAGACATGAACAGTATGATTTTCCCCCTAAATCCCCTTACATGTTTATTATAGTAGTTTATTCATCACATACAGATATTAATTAACTTTACTGTTGATGTGGATTATTGATTGACAAAAGTATTTGCTACAGCTGAGATGCTTATTACATAACTGTAGTAAAGTCATTTAAAGTATCTTTATTACAATGATCAAGAGACAAATTAATTCTGAATGCAGTCCTCAGACAAATCTATTTTATAATAAAAATGATGTTGAACTTTAGATGTGGAGGTGCAAGAAATATTGATGACTTTTTGATGTACAATGAATACTATATTTGAATTAAAGAGTGAAAGACTTATTAAGTAGATACAATGTGTTGTATCACAGGAGTTTTAATTCTCACATAGAAAAATAGCACACATTTTTGACTCAGTGCTTAAACAGTCAAGGTAAAATTGCTACTTGGACCAATTGAAGTTGGCATTACACACTAAACTTCATGCACAAGATGAGCAACCAATTTTCTTTAAAGCATGCATGAGTTCAGAACCTTTTTTTTTTTTTTTTTTTTTTTGTGGAACCAGGGATTGAACTCAGGCCCTTGCGCTTGCCAGGGAAGCACTTATTCCACTGAGCCATCTCCCCAGCCCCTCAGGACCTATTTTTAGTGAAGATTCAGACATTATGAAGTCTGAATAGTTGATGTACCAGTAGCAGACTTACTATTTCTGTGACCTTTTCCATGTTCAAGGCTGAGTACTTTATGTAGAGTAATTCACTAAAGCATCACAACAAATTCGTAAGGACTGTATTATCTCTATTTTACACACTGGGAAAGTGGAAGCACTTGGTCTGAGGTTATACACACAATGAGTGCTGTAGGATTAAATGATGTCCAAAATCATTGTAAAAGGGCAAAAAGAGGGCCATGACATAAGGGGAGTAGTTATCTGTCTGTCTGTCTGTCTGTCTGTCTGTCTGTCTGTCTGTCTATCTATCTATCTATCTATCTATCTATCTATCTATCTATCTATCTATCTATCTACCTATCTACCTACTTGGTTCAGGGTCTCACTACGCAGCTTGGATCCTCCTGTCTCAGCCTCCCCAATGCTGTGATTACAGGCATGCGTCATTATGTCTCATCTTGGTGGCTGTCATGGTTAGCCTAGGGTTCTGGGCCAGCAGGACATGGTGTCAGGGATTGAATTTGGGTCCTTGTGCTCACCAAGCAGGCGCTTAGATCCCTGAGCTCTCTCCCCAGCCAAGGGGAGTAGATTAAATAAAGGTTCTTCAAAGTTCAATTTGAGAACAACCTGATATAGACAAAAATACATTGGAGAAGTTTGATCTTCTGCTTCAAGTTTGCCTAGAGGGTTTGACTAATCCTTTATTATAAACTCAAAAATTGTTAAAGCATTATCGATTTAAAGATGATTGTGTTTAGATGCAGGAGGACTTGACACCACAGCAACTAACACACAGTTTAATATGCATAATCAGTCCCCAGACATTGAAAAAGAGCATTTCAAATTTTAACTGTTTTTAGCTAACATGTGTATATGATTAAAAAGTGAAAAGTTATTTTTAAAGTATAAAGTAAAATGTCTTCCTCCTCTTGCCAATATTTATCTTGCCTATTCCCTCACCAAAATTTTATGTTTTCCATAGATCTCTCAGAGATATATGTACCCTTCTAGATTGTTCCATCCAAGCAGCTCTAAATAATTAATTCCATTTCATATTTTCTCACAAGGGTGTACAGTACATTTGCCATGATACATAAAGGTCTTGGAGAAATTTTTGTATCAATAAATCGATTTTAAAAACCGTTTAAACATAGTCTCCACTATGCGGAAGTACTATGGTTTACTTCCCCTCTGATGGACAGGTGAGTTGTTTCCAGCATTTTCTAACTATTGCAGATCATACTGCAACAAATATCCACATATCTGGGTCGATGTGCACCTATGCACAAATATTTGGGATAAAATTCTAGCAGCAGAATTGTTAGTCAGAGAGTATAAGTGTTTGTAATTTTGATAAATGTTGCCAAATAGCCTTCCACGGCAGTTGTACCAATTTGTATTATCACTAGCCATGGATGGGAGTGCCTGCTGATTTAGAACCAGACTATTAATTAAATTTTTGGATGTTTGCCAATCTGATGAGGGAAAAAATGGTAGTGGTATCGCTGTAATTTAATTTGCATTTCTCTGATGAGTGAGGTTGAGTATCTTTTCATCTGGTTGAGAGCCACTTCTAGTTTTTTTTGTGTGTGTGCCAATTATCTTTTCATAGTCTTTCCTCAATACTCTGCTTGGCTGTTTAGTCTTTTGTTTAGCATTTTCTAGAAGATGGCTATGTGTTAATCAAGCTTTTGTCTGTGAAGAGTTGCAAATATTTCACCCATCTTGTCATTTATCTTATTTTATTTTGTTATGTGTGTAATGTCATACAGTTTTTATATTTGCAGTGAAAGTTATAGATGTATATTTCAGAATTATAAAGGCTATTTCCCCATGTTTTCTTTGTCACATAGCTTCATTACTTGCCTTAAAATCTTTTCTCTACCTGTATTTTATCCTGGCATGTGTCGGGAAATGTATTATTCTAACACCATGTATTACATTTTCCCTGTTTTGTTCATGTACTAAATTCCTAAACCTATTTGGTTGTATTTATGGTCATTATGCTATGTTCCATATATGCTCTGGAGTTATACTGTTTTAATCACTGTGGAGTTTTAATATGTTTTTTTTTTAATATTTAGTATGGTTTGTTTCCTCTCACTGTTCTGCTTTTATTAAGTATCCCTGTTTTTCTGTGGCTTATGCACTGTAGAATTTTGTTACTTAATTGAAAATTAATTTGCTAATATTTTTGAGGAATGGCATTACACTTAAAAATTATTTATAAAGATATTGAATATCCTTCTGAAAGAAAATGATATATTTCCCATTTGTTCAAGGCATCTTTCAATTTCCTTAGTACTGTTTTAAAGTTTTCTTCATTTCTTATACATTTCCTGTTATATAACTCATAGAATGTTATTTCTGTGACATCCTCCAAC